TTTCTAGAAACAACTATCTCGTTTTGTAGAACATCCTTGAATTAAGCATCTCAGATCAGCGTCAAGGCTCTGGGCCAGTCAACAGCCACCGACTGCAGCCCCAGCACTGGCCTCCGCTTGCTCAAGCGCCCCCAGAAGACCTGAGCGGAGGGGCCATCCAGGACTCCAGGGCTCGGCCTGGGTATGGCCGGCTCCGGAGTGGTCACTGGAAATTCTCATGCAGAATGGCGGCGGTGGCTCCCCCACTGGGCAGCTTCCCTTAGCAGCCTGAGGTGGAGCTGAAGCCCAGGGCCAGAGGCGCAGACCAAGGAGGGTAAGCTGCGGGAGGAGGAGCTAACGGAAAATGGCACCAAAGGAACTAATGTTTAACATTCTAGACTCATTTCTTTTCACTCTGCTTGACTCTCCTCACCCACTGGAAGAGCTCACAGTTCCCTGAACCGACTGAGAACAGTTTTTGGCAGGAGCAAGTGCCGTCGGGATTGCTAAAATTTCTGGAACTGTTCAAGTGACGCTTAACACCAAACTTTAGAGCCCCTGCTTCACAAGGCAGCAGAGAAAAGTCTGTATGTGGAGGAAAAAACCCCAATCCTGATGGTCTAATTCCCAGAGAACCGTAGACTGGTGCTCAAGGGCGAGGCTTCTGGAGCTGTGCGGTGGGGCTCAGCCAGGCTCGCTCGCTGCCTCACTGCAGTTGTCTGGTGGATACTTCCCCTCCCTAAGGCCACCTTCCTCATCTGGGAACCGAGGACAGTAAAGTCACCTGCAGCTGCTGTGGGCATTAGTAGGTAATCAACATGATGCATTCAGCACACATCCGTGCAGCGTTAACACGTGACAGCACCTCAGTGCTGGGACACACAGTGCGTGTCCCAAGCAGAGCTGTGTGTGTGCGCGTGTGGTTTGGGGCAGGTGTGGTGAATGCTTTAAACAAGGCACAAAGAGCAGTCCACACAGGGAGCGGTCTCGCTGACACATCCTTAGTTTAAGACTTCCTGAGGATTTCCTGGAGTTGCGAAGGTCTGGGCAAATCAGAACAGTCATGCTGGAGAACCCTGGAGAGTCTCTGGTCTGACCTCTCTCTTTATTCACTGGTGGAGAGCAGAGAGGATCGAAGGCCACACCAAGCTGTTCACTTTAATCCACCAAATCAACACTGGCAGAACAGTGGTGGGCTGGCTTTTAGTATTTTCAGATTTTTGCACTATGGTAGAGTTTGGACATTCATCCCCTCCAACTCTCATGATGAAATGTGAGCCCCAGTGTTGGAGGTGGGGCCTGGTGGGAGGTGTCTGTTTCCTGGGGGTGGAACCCTCATGGGTGGCTTGGTACCCTCCCTGTGGCAACGAATGAGTTCTGGCTCCATTCATTATCTTGGGATCTGATTGTTTAAAAAAACTCTGGTGCCTCACTCGTCCTCCTCCTCTTCACTTGTCACTCTCGTTCTCACTGTGTGACATACTTGCTTCCCCTTTGCTTTCTACTAGGATTAAAAGCTTCCTGGCCGGGCGCAGTGGCTCATGCCTGTAATCCCAGCACTTTGGGAGGCCGAGGCAGGTGGATCATTTGAGGTCAGGAGTTTGAGGCCAGCCTGGCCAACGTGGTTAAGCCCTGTCTCTACTAAAAATACAAAAATTAGCCAGGTGTGGTGGTGGATGCCTGTAATCCTAGCTACTCAGGAGGTGAGGCAGGAGAACTGCTTGAACCTGGGAGGTGGAGGTTGCAGTGACCCAATAGCGTCACTGCATTCCAGCCTGGGTGACAGAACCAGACTCTGTTTCAAAAAAAAAGCTTCCTGAGGCCTCACCAGAAGCAGATGCTGAGATGCTGACACTGTGCTTCTTGTACGGCCTGCAGAAGTGTGAGCCAAAATAAACCTTTTCTTTATAAATGACTCACCCTCAGGTATTCCTTTATGGCAATGCCAAATGGACTAAGACACACTTCTTGAGTAAAGAAATTCGAGCATGAAGACAAACTGTCCCTGTTTAAATTCTGGATGATCATGATGTATTGGTGATGGCTGCAAACCTAAAAGGAACAGGTGAAACAAGCATCGTCTACCAAACTGTAAACTCACTGAGGGCAAGGCTGTGTTCTGTTCAGTCCCCAACTGCCAGCGTGCAGCACTCAGTAGGTGCTGAATGGACATTTGCTGCATGAACAAATGAACAAGCTTCAGTTCAACACTGAACCAGTCACAGAAAGGTTAAGAATGCCCACATGCTGCCACAAGCCCCTAATGTGCAAGGAAGTGAGCAAGGAAGTTGGCAACGGTGCTTCTCCTGCGGAAGGTAGTGGAGAGGCCCCACATGCTCCCACGAGCCCTTAATGTGCAAGGAAGTGACCGAGGAAGTTGGCGACGGTGCTTCTTCTCCTGCCAAAGGTGGCGGAGAGGCAAGGCTGACTGCATGGTCCCGCCCTGGGTCTTTCTCTCGTGGTCCAGGCATCCACCAGCTGTGCCACAGTGCAGCTCTCTCTCTCAAGAGGGTGTCAAATTTTAAGTCAGCATATAAAGGAACACATAGTAATTACATATTGAAATTAACCATGAAAATCTTTTAAGGTGAAGACCAACACACATCTTTTCATAAATCCAACTGCTTGTTTTTCTTCCAGGATTAGAACAAATTGCGATTTCCTCAATTAAGTACCACAAGGAATGCTGGCTTATATTTGGATCATGCCATAGAAAAAATATGTATCTGTAAACATGAGAGATGCCTGAAGTGTGGTGATGTATTCACACGCTGAGAGGCAGGTGGAACGGTAGACTAGCGGAGGGAACGAGAAGCATGAGTGGCTCTCTCACTGATGGTGGCCCCAAGCCCAGTCAGCCTGAGAGAAATGTTCCTAGGATGTGACTGCACTGATCCTTCTGGTTTCTCCCCAACCCCTCAATGCGTAGCTGTCAACTGCTGTTGCCTGGAAGCCCCCGCAAGAGTCTCAGGAGGGCCCAGCCAGCAGAACACAGGCTCGAGCCCATCTCAGGCATCAGTCAGCGGAAGCACAGGGGTCTTCTGAGCAGATGTCAGTTGACCCCGGACAGCACTGTCCTTCCTTGGAGCAGAAATGCTGGTGCAGAATGAAGAGAGGACTCTCGGTCCTTCTCCCTTCAAACGGGACACATTACAGTGATGGAGGCAGGCGAGTGATGACGAGCATGGACTCTAGAGCCAGACGACTTGGGTTCAACTAATGTGATCCTAAGTTGGCTAACCTCTCCATGCCTCAGTCTCCCCATCTGTAAACTGGGATAATAACATCTCCTTCATACGGTTGTGATAAGGATTAAATGAGTTAATGTTGGAACTCAGAGCAGTGGCTGGCTCATAATGAATGCGACAAAGGAGTCTGTCGGGTGGAGTGGGTGCAGGTGCCTGGAGCAGCTGTGTGGGAATTTCCTGCTCTCTGCTCCACTGTCCCTGCTGCTTCACAGCTAGTGCTAAGTGGCTCCCCTGATCGCTACACTGTAGTATACAGTTTTTTTTTTCCTTTTTTGAGACAGAGTCTTGCTCTGTTGCCCAGATTGGAGTGCACTGGCTTGATCTCGGCTTACTGCAACCTCAGCCTCCTGGGTTTAAGCGATTCTCATGCCTCAGCCTCCCGAGTAGCTGGGATTACAGGCATGAGCCCCTGCACCCAGCCTGTAGTATGCATTTAAGAAGCATAATACTGAAATAGGAAATACTTTAGGACCAGGAAAGCTGACTTGCAAAACTACTTCAACTAACTTGGCTTTTCCATCCACAATCACCCTATGGCCCAGGATTTTCTCTCTCAATACTATAAAGATTTCCTACAACGTGACATGGAGGATAATGAAAAATTCGTGTACAGTTTAGAAAGTCACTGATTTAGAATTTCCCAATTTCAAGTTATGTGCTTCCGATTTCTGTAAATAAAATTAAACCCCGTTTTAAGATTCAAGAAAAGTGTTGAAATGTAAAACAGTTGGTAACATGATTCTCCATCAACAATTTCTATACTATATATATAGTATAAAAAGCAAACAATCTTTTTATCTTGTAAGTTATGGTATTAAAAAAATGGAAGTGGGTGCAAAGCCCAGGGCGATGAGGTGCCTAGAAATGCCTGATTTTCTCCACAGACAAGGAGGGCCCCTTCCTTCCTCGCTAGGAACACTGACGACACCACCGTTTTGGAACTCCACAAAACTTCCATCACAACAGCTGGGAAGTGAAAGCGGGAATTCGACAAGAAGAATCTTCGTTTTTCCTAAAATCATACTATGCTGCTGCTCCTAAAAACTGCTTGTTGTTGTCGTTTTCAAAGTACTTCCGCATACCTTATGTCATTGAACCTACATAGGACCACTGTGACGTGGGTAGAAAGGCAGGATCATTCCTAATCTGAGATGAATAATCTCTAACAGCCCGTAGACAGCAAAGTCTCTGAGTCCCACATTTCTTCCCAATCTCAGTTAGTGTAATAATGTGCCGCTTTGGTGGCTCCCACATTATCTGTGACTTCACAACCGAGAATGAGTCCAAAAACACTCTGACTCTGCCTTTGCAGTCAGGATCGTGAGTGACAGTTGCCGTAATGCAGTACCACTTACTTTGATTTGAAAGCTTAAACCATGATTGCTTTCAGTACTGCTCCGGCACCACCTCTGTCTGCACGTGGCAGGTGCGTGTGAGCACCTGTGGGACACAGGAGTGGTCTGGCACACTGACCTTGAAGTTTGAGCCGGCGGCCTCGGCAAGAAAGAGGTCCCTGCCTTTTGGCTTCTCACAGTACCAGGCAGTACGAATTACAGGACTTAAGCTCTGCTAGAAACTCTGACCATCCCTAAAAAATATTTCACAAGAGCCATGACTACCAGGCCACACAACTGGGTCACCTAGCCTTCTGAAGGCAGAAGCAGCGATGGTGCACGGGGCAGGATGGGCAGGGAACACCCCAGGCACGTCCTGTGGGGAGGGCGTGGAGGGCGTGTTCTCCCTGTGGCGGGGAAAAATGACAGCGCCACCTACCTTGCTGCAGACGGTCTTCACCCTGTGCAGTCTATCCAGCGACTCCTGTGGGTTCCCCAGGTACTGCTGAAGCTCCGCGTGCAAGATGCGCATCGAGAAGGGGACCATGGAGCCTGGAATCCAATCAGCGCTGAGTGAGTTTGTTTGCCATAACTGAGCACGCAATCATACTTGGCACACTTGAAGAAGGCGTCGCAGATGTCCCAGCAGAAGTGATGACAGATCCCTTTATTTCTTGTGAAGTATTTAACGGTGTCAGCTATAAAATACATGCTGGTTTTCTCTGTGGAGCTCTATCTATGTATGTCTAGACAATTATCAGAGGAGACAGGTGGATGACACCACGATTTCCATAGCTACACTGCAATCATTTAGAAACGATCCCAAAATGAATGAAACAGTAGAGACCACCAACCCCTCCTCCAATAAAAGAAAAACCTGAATGCTCAGATATTCTTTAATATTTCTTTAGTTTAGCAAGCTCGAATGAAGGTTGCTTAGGTTGGGTTCCCCAGGAGACCCTGAAGGGAGAAGCTGTAAGCCAGCCAGTGGTTCTGGCCAGTGGGGAGGAGGGGAAACTGAGCACAGGTGCATCTCAGGCCTGGGCCCTGGGAATGGGCCTCCCACTGGATTCCACGTGGCCTTGGAGCCTGCGCTCTGCCTCTGAGCTGTCTCAACAGGAGGCAAGGGAGCTGGACTTGAAAAATCTATCACCCAGAGCTGCCTGGTTACGAGTGTGCTAAGAGGAAGAAGCCCAAGAGAAACCACCTTTATATCATATCACATGTGGCTGCATCATCTCTCAGGGTAAGGTAAACTTATTGTTAATATTGTGTTCTCTTCTAATAGGATTCGGAATTTGATCTGTAGTATGTATACTAAGTAGATAACAATCAGCAAAAAATCAAATAGCATGCATTGATTATAAATGAGATAAAGAACAGAGAAATGCCAGCAGAGGGCAATCACATGTATTCAGCAAAGTGCTTTTCAAAATAGGCCTAAGTGATGAATATTCGGATCTGGAATATAGTCTGAAAGACGGTGAGGAAACACGCGTGTGACTTCTGCAAGCCACTTAACATCTCTGTGCCTCAGTGCATCCATCTGTCTATTCATTAACCATTACTGAGAATGGGCCACAACCACACTGAAATGAGCTTTATGGTTATGGTCTTTAATAAGAAAGGTCCAAAAAGAAGACAATGAAAATTAAAGAACACTATGGAAAATAGTTTTACTGTGATGATAAGCTGGAGAAAAGAAAGATAACAATTATTGAAATTAAAATGTTTAAACTTTCTTTTTTGATGCCACTAAATAATTTCTGTATCTCAAGAGAATGTCTGGCTGAGCTTAAGTTACAACCTGAGTCACTTCGGTTTCCCAGAAATAAACATTTCTAGACCATCAGTATAATGACGCAGGGGACTGGCCTGCAATGCAAGTCATATGTAAGTCACGTCACTGTGGAACCGGCCCAACATGGTAAGTTATATGTAAGCCGTGTCACTTCCATCCTTCTGTCTCAAGTAGAGAAGGGGCCAGAATCACTCCTATGTGGCTGATCACTTAACTCAAGGGAGAGAATATCTCAAGAACTCTTCAAGCTCTATAAGGTAAGCACAGAAACAAACCCCTACTGGAAGTTCTCAAACCCAACTTGGGACTAGATGTTAATACTCTGCTCTCAATTTACAGACTGGCTGTTAATACTCCCATCTCAATTTATAGACTAGATGTTAATACTCCGCTCTCAATTTACAGACTGGCTGTTAATACTCCCATCTCAATTTATAGACTAGCTGTTAATACTCCGCTCTCAATTTACAGACTGGCTGTTAATACTCCGATCTCAATTTATAGACTAGCTGTTAATACTCCGATCTCAATTTACAGACTGGCTGTTAATACTCCATTCTCAATTTATAGACTAGCTGTTAATACTCCGATCTCAATTTACAGACTGGCTGTTAATACTCCGATCTCAATTTATAGACTGTTAATACTCCGATCTCAATTTACAGACTAGCTGTTAATACTCCGATCTCAAGGCCGGGCGCGGTGGCTCAAGCCTGTAATCCCAGCACTTTGGGAGGCCGAGACGGGCGGATCACGAGGTCAGGAGATCGAGACCATCCTGGCTAACACGGTGAAACCCCATCTCTACTAAAAAATACAAAAAACTAGCCGGGCGAGGTGGCGGGCGCCTGTAGTCCCAGCTACTCGGGAGACTGAGGCAGGAGAATGGCGTGAACCCGGGAGGCGGAGCTTGCAGTGAGCTGAGATCTGGCCACTGCACTCCAGCCTGGGCGACAGAGCGAGACTCCGTCTCAAAAAAAAAAAAAAAAAAAAAAATACTCCGATCTCAATTTATAGACTAGCTGTTAATACTCCGATCTCAATTTACAGACTGGCTGTTAATACTCCGATCTCAATTTATAGACTGTTAATACTCCGATCTCAATTTACAGACTAGCTGTTAATACTCCGATCTCAATTTATAGACTAGCTGTTAATACTCCGATCTCAATTTGCAGACTGGCTGTTAATACTCCGATCTCAATTTATAGACTGTTAATACTCTGATCTCAATTTACAGACTAGCTGTTAATACTCTGATCTCAATTTACAGACTAGCTGTTAATACTCCGATCTCAATTTACCGACTGGCTGTTAGTACTCCGATCTCAATTTATAGACTAGCTGTTAATACTCCGATCTGGAATACAGTTTGGTAGATGGTGAGAAAACAGGCTGTGTGACTCCTGCCACTTCACCTGAGACAGTGGCAGAAAGTTAGCTGCCCCTTACCCTGACAACTGCCCATGGACATGGGGGTGCTTCTGGATGTAAAAGCACATGTGAAAATATTTTGAACAAAGTGAAAATAAAAATACAACATCAAAATTTGTGGGATGCAGCAAAAGCAGTGCTGAGAGGAAGCTTTTTAGCATTAAATGCATATACTAGAAAAGAAAGATCTGAAACCAGTTCCACCTTTGAAAACTAGAAGGAAAGAAAGAGCAATATAAGCCTAAAGTAAGCAGTAGAGAATAAAATAATAATAATAAAAATATAATAATAAAAATTAGAGCAGAAATCAGTGAAACTGAAAACAGGAAATCAATAGACAAAATCAACCAAACCAAAAACATATTCTTTGACAAGACCAATAAAACTCTGACAAGACCAATAAGCCTCTCCCCAGGCTAGTCAAAAAAAGACAAGACATAAACAACTAGTACTAGAAGTGAAGGATTATTACTGTGGATCCTACGGACAGTAAAAGAATAATAAAGGAATATTACGAACAGCTCTATGTCCACACATTTGGTAACTTAGATAGAAAAAGAAAAACCTTTCCAAAAAAGCAAGCCCCAGACCCAGATGGTTTCACTGTGAATTCCACCAAACATTTATGGAAGAAATGATATCAGTTCTCCACAATCTCTTCCCGAAAACAGAAGCAGAGGAATACTTTCTAACTTCTTATATGAGGCTGGCATTACCCTAATACCAAAACCAGACAAAGATGTTACAAGAAAAAAGAATATAGACCAATATGTCTCATGAACATAAATGCAAAAATCTTCAACAAAATTAGCAAACTGAATCGAAGAGAACTGAAGTCAACAAAAAATTAGCAACCAAATCCAACAATGTATAAAAAGAATTATAAACCATGACCAGACAGAATTTATTCCAGGTATGCAAGGGTGATCTAACATTCCAAAATCAGTTAACATAATCTACTACATCAAACAGGCTAAAGAACAAAAATCTTATCCATAGATGTAGAAAAGCATTTAACAAAATCCAGCACCGGCTCATGATAAAAACTCTCAGCAAACTAGGAATAGAGGGAAACTTCCTCAACTTGATAAAGGACATCATAAAACAACTGCAGCTAACAACATACTTAAGAGTGAGAAACTCAGTGATTTCCCCCTAAGATCATGAATAAAGCAACAATGTTCCCTCTCATCTCTTCCACTGAACATTGTACTGGAAGTTCGAGCTAATGTAATGACAAGAAAAGAAAACCAAAGGTACACAGAGTGGGAAGAAGGAAATAAAACTATTTGCTTAAAATGACATAATTATGAAGAAAAATCTCAAAGAACAAAAAAACTTCTAAACTAGTAAGTGTTTAAAGGTCACAGGATACGAGATCAATATGCAAAAGTCAACTGTCTTCCTAGATACTACCAATAAAAGATGGGAATTTGAAATTAAAAACACACTATCATTTCCCATATAAATAAGTGAAATACCCTAGGTATAAAATGGACAAAATAAGCACAAGAGCTGTAGGAAGAAAACTACAAAACTCTGATGAAAAAATTCACAGAGCTGAAAAAAATCAAGAGATATTACACATTCATGTACAGGAAGACAATACTGCTAAAACAACAGTTCTTTACAACTTGACCTACAGATTCGATGCAGCCCCAATCAAAATCCCAGCAAATTATTTCATGGTTATCAACGAAATGACTCTGAAGTTAATATGGAGAAGGAAAACACTCAGAATATCCAACACTGAAGAGAGCAAATCTGGAGGGCTGAGACTGCCCACCTTGAGAGCTACTCGAAAGCTACTGTAAAAAGACTGGGTGACTGTGTGGTCCTAGAGAAAGAACGGACAAATAGATCAGTGGCCCCGAGCAGAAAGACAAGAAATTGCTCCTCACAAATATAGTCAGTTTGATCTGTGACAGACGAATAAAGGAAATGCAATGGAGAAAGAACAGGCTTTTCCAAAAATGGTGCTGGGACAACTGGACGTCCACATGAAAAAAATGAATCTAGACACAGATCTTACATCTTACACAAAAATTAACTCCAATAACAGACCTACATGTAACGTGCAAAAATTATAAAACTTTTACAACAGAACACAGATGAAAATCTAGGTGACCTGGGTTTGTTGATAATCTTTCAGATACAACACCAAAAACATAATCCATGAAAAGAAAAAAATCAGTAAGCTGGACTTCATTAAAATTAAAAACATATGCTCTGTAAAACGTAGTATTAAAGTAATGAAGAGACAAGTCACAGATAGGAAGAAAATATTTGTAAAACACCTATCTAATAAAGAACTTGT